GAATTAAACTAAATTAAATCAAACACTTTCTTCTGACTTGGCTTCAGCGAGCGGTTGTTTATATAAACACAATAATTGATTTATCATCAAGATAATAAAAAAACTAAGATTACCCTGAAAAGAAACCTTCGAGGAATAATTATTATTCCAAGTATTTGACTAATAAAATAAATTGACCTTTTGTTCAAAACGATTTTAAAATAAACATGAATACAATTTATCGTAAACAGGGAGTACCAAAGTGAAAGAAGAACTCACGTAGGTCTTATTGCAATAGAAAATCATTAACGGAAAAGTCACTTCGTTGCAACAAAATGTTATCACGTGGGTTTTTATAGGTATCATAGTTGCTGAGTAAATATTAAAAGTATCAGGAAGTTGTTTTTCGTCTCACATTTTTTTTATACGTCTGAAAACCAGTTTTGCTGATAATCATCACCTGACATATATTTGTCTGAAGGCCTTGACGTTTCAGAATGCAAATATCATAACATTGTTGACTAGTCGTGTTGAATCTTTCCTTGCGTACGGTTGCATTTTTCAAAGATTACGAAAAAAAATTAAAATTGAAGAGCTGTGTTTATTTGACAGAAAAAATTGTGCATGTGACAACTTCCATTTTCTTCCCGTAATCTTTAAAAAAATTCGATCGCACGCAAAGAAAGATTCAACATGACTAGTCAACAATGTTATGAAATTTGAGTTCTGAAACATCAAAGCCACCAGACAAATATGTGTCAGGTGATTATCATCAGCAAAACTGATTTTAAAGCGTATACATAACAACTGTGAAATGAAAAACAATTATCTAATACTTTTAATATTTCCTCAGCAACTATGATACTTAGAACAACCCACTTGGTACAATTTTGTTCGTAATTTAACAAAATTTCATTATGATAATCGCTTTCTAATTGATGAATTTAATATTAGCTAAGTTATTTGTGAAAACTGAGAAAGAGAAGCTATTTTCCAAGATGGCTGACGGTTCCCGATAGTCCCCACAATTTTCTGATGAGATTGCACCCTCGAAAATCCCTATCCACAAAGTATCATTTCCATTTTATCGATTGACTCGATTTTTTCCCGGCAAATGTGTTATAAAATAACTAGTATTATATATCATACTAAATTTACAACAATATAAAATAAATTACTAATGACCAGTATTATCAACATTTTAAAGACAACTTTATCTTAACGGGAGTTTTAGTGACAATACCAGTAAAGTTGTTAAATTGCGTGTACTTTAAAAAAATGTAATGTACATACACAGCGAGTGGTTTACAGCTAATTGGGCAGTATCTCGCATCCTAAGCACCACTTTCTCTTGTCCACCCATACATTTTCATTCATGTCTCTTCTTTCCATCACCTCCATAACTCCCTCCACCTATTCTTTCGCGAGTCGTTTTTTTTCTTCTTTCTGCAGGAGACCATTGCCACATTCGTTGAGGCCACCTATTCGGCTTCATGCGCCTTAGATGTCCATACCACAGCAGTCTTTTTTTCTTTATGTCTTCTATAATAGTTTATTCCATGTTCATTCTTTCTCTTATTTCACTGTTTCTTATATGTTGCAACCTAGACACCATACAGCTCCTTCTCAACGCGTCCATTGCCACCGCATGAAGCTTTTCCTTATTTCTTTGTGTTATTCCCACGTTTAGAATCCGTACGTCACTATGCTTGGAATAATGCTTTCATAAATTCTTTTTCTGTTGGTTTCTTTGTTCTGACCACCATTTCGAGTTTAGCTTCTGAATAGCCTGTTTGCCTTGTATTTTTCTATGGTTTATATCTCTTAGGCTATTTCCCTTCATTGACATAACGGCTCTTAAGTACGGGTACTCACTACGGACTTTTATATTCTTTCCATTTACATCCATGTCATTCCCTTCTTCCCCCTATTACCAAATATTTGGTCTTGTCACAATTAATTTTTAACCCCCATTTTTCATAGGATTCTATCAATTTCCCCATCATGTAGTGAATGTCATCTGACGCAATCACTACTTGGTCATCTGCAAAAAGAAGAAAATGCAAGTATTCGCCATTTACACATACGCCCATACTCCTGCATTTAGTCTGCCATGCTTGCAAAATCTTATCTATATAGATTTTGAATAGAGTCGATAAAAGGAAACACCCTTGACGTAATACTTTTTTGATTTCAAAGGTGTTGGACATGTTATTCCAATTTTAATTCCACTCTTTTGTCCATCGTAAAAAACTCTTATGGTATCAATGTATTTGTAATGAACAGAACTGTTATAGAGCACTTCGGTTTTTGTAAGGGCACTGTGTCATATGCTTTCTCTAAGTCTACAAATACCATATGAGTCCCTCTACTTCTTGCTATTCTCTTTTGGGTTAATTGTCGTGGAGTAAATATATTGTCCACGCACGATCCTCCCGCCATGAAACCGCACTGTTCTTCACCAATCTAACCTAAAATATGATGTAACTTTTAAAATAACCGTAATGTAAATGTATTGTATCTTATAATTTATGCCAATTTGCTATCTTGGAATTATAGGGATCTATGTTACAATCATAATATATTACAATACACAGCTTTGTTGTCTCAGACACGAAATATTCCTAAAAGCATTTATGCTACAAAACCGTATGTTTTCATAAAGAAGCAATGTAGAACTGTAGGAGTTAAATTAGCTATTAGTACACATATCATAGATCTTTGGGATATTCTTTGTTTCAGTTCATTTCAAAATTGACCAAATTGTAACAATTTATTCTATATTGCAAGATTCATAAATTTATATGTGTATGGTGTATGCTACACAAATTAAAACCTACCACCAAAAGTATAGATTTTATTGTAATACAATTCCAGATACGACATAAACAAAGCAATATTTTAAATTAACAAGATAACTAACAATTCCAAAACAATATAAGTGATAAAAATAGACTGAAACTATACCCTTTTAATTAAAGAAATTTCAACTTAGGCTAGTCATACGAAAAAAAATAAAAACGTTATATGCTAATTCCTATTCCACTGCTACTACCTTGCCCTATATTATATTAAAATAAAGTGTAGAACAAAAATAAACATATTCCCTCTAACAACAAAGTTGAAATTTTAAGTAAAAAACAAACAAGAAAAGTTTTCCGCTTACTATCCGCTTGAAATTTTATAAGCTCATCTTAAGTTACCGTTCTACTAGCAAACACTGAAACAATTGCTGAAAAGCTCGTGCAAAAAGGAAATTTTGATGCTTGTTATCGACTCCGCAATAAACCTCGAGTGTTTCTACCCAGTTTAACTATTACTGGTTGGCGGTTAGCTACAATGTAATTTGCAGTGCAATTACATGCAACATTTACCGCTTTATTAAATAAAAAGAATTTTAATGGTAGATCCAGTTGTTCCTTAAATTGGTATTTTAGTTTATTCTTGCTTTACCTTCATTACTATAGATTCTTGTAATACAAATTTTTAAGATGAAAATTATTTATATTATTTAATAATGGGATAAATCTGATTTTAAAAAGGAATATAAAACCATGTCGGCCGTACTTTCGAGAAAATGACAAATTATTTTTTCGTACGCAATAGGAAGTAAAACAGTTAGAAGAATGGAGAAAAACAAAACTTGTAATTTATAAGATTATCTTGAATTAAAATCTACCAACACTCCTAATGTAAAATTTGTTGTTAAATCGGATTTATAGCAAATAAAACTTCTGTGAAGATAATTTTTACTCCAAAAAACGGCCAGATGGTTACGAACTCCTCCCCTTGGGAGAACGAAAGGTTTTGTATAATTTTTTTAGATGATTAATTGGACACAAAGACAGCTGATCAATCGACGGTAATAATCCCTTTATTAAATCTTTTTTTTCTTGCCTGAAAATTATTTAAATGTGGCACTTTGAATAACCGATTATCGAAAAAAGTATCGTAGAATAATAAATTATTAAAAAATCGGTAATCAATTAGTCGATAATCGACAAACAGTTAATACATCGGCATAAAACGAGGTTGCTCAATTTTATATTTGCTTTTACAATCGATTCGTAAAATGTGGGAAACAGTGCTGTCTAAGTCACCAATACCCTTCCGTGTAAAGATAAAACACTGTAACTGCAAATTTTAGTTTCGAGTTTCTTTCGGCAAAAGTAAAATTGGAACATTGCATTGCTTTTTAGACAAAATTTCTAATTTTAAAAATGCAATAATCCAATGTGGTGTCCATAACAAGAAAAATTAAGACGATGTACTTTTTTTAATCTATTGTAAAAAATAAGTTGAAAATGCGACTGTAAAGTCCTTAAAAAATTATTGCAAAATGATCCTTAACATTTTTTAATTGAACCACAAATAAAACAATTATAAGGTATTTTAAAAAAGTGGCGGTTTGGTTTTTTCCTAAACAAAATCTAAACCAATCGGACAGCACTTGTTTTCTGGACGCCATGTTAATGGACATAAAATTCTGCACAACTGCTCATTTAAGCAATTCTCTATATCCACTAATAACCAAGATACTCATATAATCAATTCCGCGTCCTGTGGGACACACTGTATATAAGTAACTACATAAATTTATAGGCATGACTATAAAGCAAAAATACATTAAAATGAATACTAAATTTTATTAAGGTTATTATTAGAATATGGCATAAAATTATTATAGATGGTGAGGTTTGTTGTATCAGTAGGTAGGTAAATTAATTAAACACATAAACGTATTTAATGTCTCATAATTAACATTTTATTAAAGATGACCTTCCATATAATCACAAGACATTGTTAAAAAAGTAATATTTTTCAGACTAGGATCCTCTATAGTTTACTACTACTTTTGATATGCAGTTCTGCTATTTTTCATTAAACATAGTGTTTAATAAACCCCATGTATTCCTGATACCTAGAGGTAACTTGTACAGGAGAGAGCTACATTAAGTGAGGACGGACATACATCCAATATCCGTATATGCTAGGACTAATTTCTGCTTTACAATAAATTCCAGCTCCTCGACCGGGGATCGAACCCGGGTCTCCAGTGTTAGAGGAAAATATCTTTACCGCTCAACTACGAAGCTATTATAGTTACCAGATCACCACAAATTTAGACAGTCTGTTTTACTCCTAGATGTGTGCGTATGCCAGAGGAGCGCCAGGGAAGGAATGGGTCTACTCGGCGAGGTCCAACATGCTAGGATCGGGGTAGGTTTGCCAAAACGATCACACCGCTCGAATTTGCGGACATAGAAGTGAAGAGGGAGGATAATCCCCTTGGCTAAGGATATTGGCGCGTCATCTTATTTTCCCACGTTGGATATATTTGACGGAAGAACGACTTAAACTGTTCTTTAAACAAATAAATGTTATCTTGTGGAATAACTGAGTTATTGCTCTCTTCTGTTAAACAAATATAAGAGGTAAACATTTTTGTAAACCACAAATATGATAAATAATTGCATTGTTTTGTGACGCCGCTGCATGTGCAAACTTCATGCTTGGCTCTAAAGTTTGAGGCAAAGTAATAATATAGGTGCCTTCGTGCAGAGACCTACTTTATTTTGAAAAATATTAAAAAAACATGTTATATGTAAGTAAATAAAATACTCACTAGATGAATACTGGTTTGTTTGGTTTTAATTAGTGAATTAATATCAAGGTTTCAACAAATTCTGCTTTCATTTATATGGAAAATATTATTTTCTTGACAAAACGTATTTCATATATCTAAAGTTAAGCCCCGTTGAGTTCCCCAGCAAGTTTCGTGAAATCAAGACAGGTGAAGTAAAATTCAATTTCCTCTCTTCAAATTGAAACTGACTACATGCAGAGAGAAATACCTACCACAGAATTGTGAAAATGTGTTCTTGGAACACTTACTTTGATTACAATACACATGAAAGAATAAGGTAAAAAACAATCGTCAATCGTAGCCTTTTTCAATATGTATTTTTTGTTTTCCATTTATGGATAATCAATTAGTATATTACGGAGTGCTTCAACATCCAATGTCAAAAATTGTATAGATATAGGCTATGCACAAAAATATATCATGTGTGCCAAGAAAATGGCAATGGTATTTTTGAGGATGGAGTGACTTTACCCCCACAGACCTGTTTATTGGAACACAATACATATCGATTAAGTATTAACTTTTATATTCATTATTTCAAGACTTTTGTCTTTGATTTTTGATATAAAACCGGCTACTTTTGAAAATAATAAAAACAATTAAATTGTTAATTCTTAAATAATTTATTATTGTTTTATTATTCTCAAAAATAGTTGGTTTTACTTGTTCCCTGATTTCCGGAGGAGTACCAGAAATAAAATCTTCTTCACTATAACTCATTTCGTTACTCGTGTGGTTTATAGCACTCGCCTTCGGCTCGTACTATAAACACCCCACTTGTAAAAAAAACACCATTTTAGCCACTTGTTATATAAAATACTATTATTAGATACCTTCAAGATAGCTCAATCAAAATAGACAAGATATTGGTCAAAATCGAACACTCATGTGGAGTGATAATTTCCAACGTATTAGAGGGGGCCATGAATGCTACGATGCGACATTTAATAGCCTCAAAAGAGTTGGAATATGCAATATCAACAGTGTATGCGCTATTATAAGTAACAGTTTAAAACTATTATGGGGGGACAATTATGAGGAAAAGAAAGACAAATTTTTATTATTTATTACGGACGATACAGCGTATATGATAGCGGTTGGGTACAATGGATGTAATGTACTTTTTGCGGCAATATATTTCATTGTCAACAAGAAAATCTGTAGAATGCATAAATGAAAAATTAGAAATTATTTTAGAGGCAAATTCCGTACACTTTCGAGCCTAGTAAAAGTTTTACGCAAAGAAGTGGATTTTGCTATCCTCGGAGGTCACGAGTAATTTCTACATAAATATGCAGTATTTCGATAGCAACCCATCACATCTGTGATCGTCTTGTATGTAACGTGGATATTTTCTGACAAAAGGTAACTCTGTCCTATTTGGAGTAGATGTTTATGATATCTTGTTATTATTATCATATCGCAGATAATAGTGAATAAATCGCACTGTCAATGGAAACTAAGTCATCTCAAAATGATTAGTTTTGAGAAAAGTTAAGTTGAAATTTTTGTTTTCAAATAAATAAATTCAAAATATATTTACTTTCATTCTTCCTGAACTCATCAGGGGGATGGTTAACACGAACATATTATTTATAATAGTATTTAAATTTAAAACATTTGTGATATTTTGATATTTTAAATAAAAAGACAATATCTAGATTAATTGTAACTTTGGATGTCACAATGACATTCATGATATACCGGGTGTAACAGGATCATAGTTTTGAATGAAATTTGGGATATCTTATATACATAATAAGCAGCACTTTTTCACATACAAGTGACTTTTTTTCCCGTCCGGTTTCGCCGGAGTGACATTAACTTTCGATTTTTAAATGGAGCACCCTGTATATTATTCCATTTTTGAATTCTGCATAATTTTTTGAATCCAACGATACCAAATAAGTGACATTTCAAACGTCAATATTTTTTATAATATAATTTTTAGATTTCTATTTAAATGTGCCATGACGGTTCCGGCTTATTTGAAATGACCCGTGTAATGCTAGAAAAATCGAAATCCCGTCAAAAATACTAAATTTAAACAAATAAAGTTCATCAAAATGATTTTTGGGACAAAACACAATTTTTTCAAATGGAACTATTTTGGTACCGTGGTACCATTTATTAGAACTACTAATATGAAATTTATTCATACGTCGTATTAAAATGTGCGATAAATACAAACAAATTTACAGCTTAAAGAAAATAAGAAAATACAATGTTGTTCTAATTACCCTGTTATACATAAGGTGGCTTTGGAATACTAAAAATGTACACAAAACATTACAACAGTTGTTCAAAATGCTTTTCATTAACGTCAATGCACTTCTGAACTCGCCTGTTTCTCGATGAACGTTCGCCAATTACTGAGCCATTATGCTATTAATTGCGCGTTTTACTCATAGCTCCAGGTCTTCACGGGTTGTAATGGTGGTTGCGTAGACAACATTTTTTAAATTACCCCAAATAAAGAAATCAAGGGGTGTTAAATCAGGTGACCTTGGAGTCCACCTCACAGGACCATTCGTCGAAATTACGCTTTCTCCGAATCTCCGTTGAAGGTAGTCAATTACTATCCTTGCATTATGGGGAAGAGCGTCATCTTGTTGGAAATACATTCCTAGTCGTAAATGGAAAGGTAATTCAGCTAAACTATCCTCAATTTCATTTTGCTGAAATCTCAAGTGTCAGGTACCAGTCAGATGTCCTTCAAATATTATTGGACCAATGATTCTATTACCGATTATTCCAAACCAAACATTGAAACCGAACCGCATTTGAAAGTTACCCTTCCGTAATAAATTTTGATTTTCTTGTGACTAATATTTAGTATTTTGTCGGTTAACTAAAATAATTCCCAAAAAATCATTGTTTGGCTGTACGTTATTGCAAAATCCAATTGCAATATTCCATCCTACGTTCGTAATCATTTTCGTATAACTGCTGATGCAATTGGCATTTAAAAGATTTATAGTCGTATTTTGCAAAACTCGGTTTAATGTTTGGTGACTGATTTCCAATTCAAACCCAATTTGTCTTAAAGAAACAGTTTTATCAACATCTACTCGAGCCAAAACATTAATTTCCGTTCCTTCGTCAAGAATGAAAATTTCTTCGGGATCATTGTTGGAATCACTTCGGAATTAATTTTCAAGACGATTAAAATAATTTCTCGCTGGACATTGTCTATCAGGATATCGTTCGGCATAAGGTGTCTAGCCGCAATGGCATATTTTCTACATTCCCCATAAATAATTAACATGTCCTATTTTTCATCTCTTGTATAAATTTGCGGAATTTTGAAAAAAAGTTAACAAGCTTTTTAAACAATTTTTAAAGACACAATAAAAACACCGGTAAATCAACAAATATTTGACAAGCTAAATATTTCATTGTTGTTAAAGCCACCTTAGTTACTTCTTAACATTTAATTAGAACAAAATTGTACTTTCTTATTTTCTTTTAGCAGTAATTTTGTTTTTCTACAGCCGAGCGGAAAAGTGCAACGTTGCGCTTCAAAAGAAAGCGCAAAGTTGCACTTTTCCGAGGAGCGATCGTTTTTTTACTTTGTCGCTCGCCGAGTGTCACACGTCGAACTTCTCGCTCAGAGCGACAATATGTCACTTTGCGCTTTTAATACACAAATAGCTATTGTATTTATCGCACATTTTAATTCGACATATGAATAAATTCCTTATTAATAGTAGTAATAAATGGTACCAGGGTACCAATATGGTTCCATTTGAAAAAATTGTGTTTGCCCCAAAAACCATTCTGATGAACTTTACTTGCTCATAAATCACGTAATTTAGTATTTTTAACGGAATTTCGATTTTTCTAGCATTACACGGGTCATTTAGAATAAATTGGAACCGTCATGGCACACTTAAATGGAAAATTAAAAATTATATTATAAAAAAATATTGATATTTGAAATGTCACTTATTTGGTATCGTTGGATTCAGAAAATTATACATAATTCAAAAATGCAATAATATACAGGGTGTTCCATTTAAAAATCGAAAGTTTGTGTCACTTCCGGCAAAACCGGAAGTGAAAGAAAAAAACTTGTATGTCAAAAAGTGCCGCTTATTATGTATAAGGATATCCCAAATTTCAAGCAATTATCTTCAGAACTAAAGGTGTTCACCCTAAATAAGCCCTTTCTTTTCATACATTTTAAAAAAATCTGATATATTATTGCCTCGTATTTATGCATTCCTAGAAAAAAATGGTAAAATAATTATTGGGCATTACATAAGCATCCTTTCAAACCCAACATGATAAAAATATTAAATACTTAGAGTATTTTATATTTTATACTGTCATTCATATGTGATTGAATGCTAGTATAAAAGTTTTAGGTAAATAATAAATCAAACACAATACTTCCAATACATTTTATCATAGAAACTATTAAAACATCTACTCAGTCTAGGAGCA